ACAAATTAATCTGGTAAGACAACACTCATCTGGTAACACACACATTCATCTTGTAACACATATATTTATCTGACAATCTACACATTCATCTCGAAAACAAGCACAAATTTATCTGGCAATAAAGCCCCCGGTAACACACACATTCATCTGGTAAAACCTGCATTCTTCTGGTAACACATAAATTCATCTGGTAACACACAAATTCATCGGTAACACAAATTCATCTGGACAAAAAATATTTATCTAGAATGACACAAATTTTTCTGGTTGCACACACATTTATCTGGTAACGAACACATCAATCTGGCAACTCACAGATTCAACTGGTAACCCACATCTGGTAAAACACAAATTCGTCTGGTAACACACATATTCATTTGGCAATACACACAAATTCTTCTGGTGACACACACATTCATCTGGTAACACAAAAAATCCATCTGGCAACACATACATTTACCTGGACATACACACACACATACATCTAATACAACACAAATTCATCTGGTTACACACATCTAGAAACACATATATTCAGCTGTTAACACCCACATTCATCAGATAACGCAAATTTATATGGTAACACATTCATCTTGTAACACACAAATTCATCTGGTAACACAAATTCATCTAGTGACACGAACATTCGTCTGGTAATGCAAACATTCATCTGGTAACACATATGTGGTTAAAACACAAATATATCTGGTAAAACAAAACATATTAATCTGGGAATACACATTCATCTGATATCACAAATTCATCTAGTAACTCCCACAAAGTCATCTGGTTACACACAAGTTCATCTGGTAACACACATTCATCTGGAAGGACACACAATTATTTGGAAACACACAAAAATTCACCTGGCAACACACACACATACATCTAATACAACACAAATTCACCTGGCAACACACACACATACATCTAATACAACACAAATTCATCTGGTTACACACATCTAGTGACACATATTCATCTGGTAACACAAATTCATCTGGTAACACACACATTAATCTGGTAACACACTCATTCATCTGGTAAAACATACACACATTCATCTTGTAACACACAAATTAATCTGGTAACACAAATATTCATGTGTTAACACACAAATTCATCTGGTAACACACACATTCATCTGGTAACACACTAATTCATCTGGTAACACACAAATTCATCTGATAACACCCACTAATTCATCTATTAACACACACACAACTTCATCTTGTAACACAAATTCATCTGGTAACACACACATTCATCTGGTAACCCAAATATTCATGTGTTAACACACACATTCATCTGGTAATACACAAATTCATCTGATAACACACTAATTCATCTGGTAACACACAAATTCATCGATAACACCCACTAATCTATTAACACACACACAACTTCATCTTGTAACACATATTCATCTGGTAATACAAAATTTCATCTGGTAGCACACACATTTATTTGGTAACACACAAATTCATCTGATAACACAAATTCAGATTTGCACAAAATGGTTTACTTTAATTATTTTTTTTTAACGTCTATAAATAATTGATAACAAGTGCTAAATGCAAACGTATGGTCAGATAAGCGTGAAAAGTTGAACAATTTTGGATGGCTTGGTGCTGGGCAATGGCGTAACAAAGGTGGATGTCACCCTTTCAGTAAACATATTTTTACACCCCTCCTTTTTCCCCCTCCCCCCCCCCCGATGGATTTCTTCTTGTTAATATAAGTTTATAGTACAACAATGACAAGTACAAAAACAAATTATTTGAAGGTCAGGGGTAAATCTATCTAAGAACTGTAACAACGTTAAGTTATACTTATTTTTACATTAAATTTATTTATTATTATATTATTTATTTATTTTAATGTTACTTTCCTGGTCTTCGGGGTTGTAAAACTGTCAATCACTTGATCAAAATCAATATCCTTTACCGGATTACTTTCAAATGATCATAAAGCCTTGACTGTCCCATTGTGGATCGTTAATAGTTCTTGGTAAGCCTTAGTTTTGAAAAGCTTCACTCACATGAAGCCACAGTCACACAGATCGTAAGAAACAATTGAAAGCCTCATGATTTTGTAATTTCGGGTTCAGTTTCTCTCAATTATCAAACGCAGTAAAAAATAAATGTTGATGTTGTTTCTGTAACATTTGCAGCAAATAATCTGCAGCAAAACGGTACACATTCTGACAGACGAATTAATAAATCATCTACGACCGCAGAATTTTCTCGCCATATGGCATCATCCTGTTGAAGCATTGTTTTGTTAGCTGGCGCACACCTTCTTTAGACATCACATCTTGCCCCGTCACTACGCTGAAAGGCCCAGCCTTTTCAGAAACGAGGTACACCTTATTTTAATCATTTCAGACCGAAAATTATCTTGAACTGGTACATTCCAGAGAGAAGAATCTGATAAAGTAATTGAGTTTTTCCCCATTACCATCAAATTTACAGTAACTTGGTTTTAATTAACATAATCAGCACCCATTTCTATTTTTAAATCATACACGTCTTTTACTTCAATTTTCACGCATCTTGCTATGTCAATCTCTTCCATTTTATGCAATACAGAATGCATGCTGCTGGCATCAGAGGAGCAATCAGAGGAGCAATCAGAGAGTGTTGCCAATTGTGGTGACATAAATGTAAAATAAACAATTTGAATAAGGCAGCTCGTGTGTTTTCATAACATCTCTAAGTTAAACACAGGAGCAGGCTATCACCATAACTAAGTGCCTCAACAACAGGCTGCCACAGGAGCAGGCTATCACCATAACTAAGTGCCTCAACAACAGGCTGCCACAGGAGCAGGCTATCACCATAACTAAGTGCCTCAACAACAGGCTGCCACAGGAGCAGGCTATCACCATAACTAAGTGCCTCAACAACAGGCTGCCACAGGAGCAGGCAATCACCATAACTAAGTGCCTCAACAACAGGCTGCCACAGGAGCAGGCTATCACCATAACTAAGTGCCTCAACAACAGGTTGCCACAGGAGCAGGCTATCACCATAACTAAGTGCCTCAACAACAGGCTGCCACAGGAGCAGGCTATCACCATAACTAAGTGCCTCAACAACAGGCTGCCACAGGAGCAGGCTATCACCATAACTAAGTGCCTCAACAACAGGCTGCCACAGGAGCAGGCTATCCCCATAACTAAGTGCCTCAACAACAGGTTGCCACAAGAGCAGGCTATCACCATATCTAAGTGCCGCAACAGGTTGCCACTACTGCAAGTTGCCAGAGCATCTATTACGTTTTCCCATGAGTTCAAGTTTGTGACGCACTAGTCTACACGAGTCGTGATTTAGCGGCGTTCACTTCAGACAAAGAAGCGCCTACTCCCTTAATGAGCGCCTACTCTCTTTGCCATTGACTTCATATGGAGATGGTTTAACCTATCAGCAAGCGTCTCGGTTTTCTTGATGATAATACGTTTGATGGACATCGTTGTATAGGCGCTCAATCTTTTGTCCACTGCTCAATGATCTCCTTCCCCGGTCGACGAAGCAAAAGATTTATCAATTTTAACATTTTAAAAATTTCATCAATTAATTCTACGTCCTTGAATCTTCCCAGTCCTGTCATTAAGTGCACACACTCATTGCGCACAATCTGGGTATCCTTTACTTCGTTTAATAGAAGCTTAAACAAAAAGAAACTCATGAAGAGCTATTTGCGATCTAATATGAAATAGTCATGCCTTTCTGGTCTTGCAATTTTGTCCGTTGAAAGGTGAAGTTGAAGAATGCTAACTTTGATGAAAAGATTGACAGGTTTGCATCTTTGAAGATTAATGTTTCAATAAACAGTCGATTTGATCCATATTTTTGTAAACGTTCCTATCTCGAACTCAATGTTATCTCAAATTAATTAACCTGTTATGTCTTTTTTATTTCGCTTCAGGGCTTAGTTTAAAAAAACATCTATTAGTAATTCTGTATGATCTGTCCATTGATGGGGTTGGGGGAGGGGAAACAATGAGTTGACCGCACCGGGTGACACCAACACTAGTGACGCCACTGGCCAACGCTAGTGACGCCACTGACCAACGCTAGTGACGCCACTGACCAACGCTAGTGACGCCACTGACCAACGCTAGTGACGCCACTGACTGGTGATTGGCTACACATAATCCCAAAAACAGTGTGCAAGTTTTCAAAAACTCAAAGTGCATAAAATCCCTCTTTACAAACAACCACAGCTTTTCGAACAAATGTAAATTTAATTAAAATTGTGCAATTGAGGTTCTTTATATACTTCATTCTCATTCCACTGTTGATATGGTCTAGTTTTGACTCAGTTGTCTCAGTTGACAATACAGGGTAGCTTTTGTACGAGCACGGGGGCGATTGAAACCCAACCTACGTGGTAGACATCTCTGTCACACTTACTAGCAAACTAGCACAAGACCCCAATACATTTTATATCCACGCAGTCTCCTTGTCCACCAACTGTGACTAACCTAATTATTATTTTTACTTTACATGTTTTACATTGTTGTAATGCTGGCTCTAAATCATTGTCATCCCATAGAACCAAAGCAGGATGTTTCAAAGACTATAGCGTGTACAACACTAAACAATTGTACTCAGATGGCGCTCTGATACATTGTTTCGTCATGGTGGCCTGAAAATCTGTTCTATAAACATCCGTCCCGTGCTCTCATCGAAACTGAGACTTCTTAATGGCTGCAAGCTCATATGATCGGAGTAGCCATCTTTGAGTGATCACCTCCATATTTAATATTTTGTGATGTTCTGTTTTCATTATATTTTTTACACGCCACATACACCGTCAAGATTGACGTCATGCCTATAAAATAATCGCAACCAAGACAGGCAAAGCTATAGAGCGCTGCTGCCAATTGTCTGCGCTAGTCGACTTTGCCCCCCCCCGAGGGATTAGAAACATGTTCATTTATTTACATAGTGAAAAGCTATTTTTAAAAAAAAATGATTGTTTAAGAAAAAATGTCAATTGTCGTCCAATGGACTCCCATACATTGTAAGGTCGGCAGCAATGATGTCTCCCGCCTCTTCGGCATCTTCTTCCGTTTTTGTTTTCCCGTGGTGGCCATGGTTTTCATGTGAGCTTCCGGTCCCATGATCGGATTTTTTGTGGTGTAAACAGCGCAGAGGATTTGCGTAGAGTGTCAGATCTGCTGCTATCTGGAATTCGGCATCCGCTTCTTGGGTTTTGGTAGTTGTCGGAGACTGTTTGGTGTCAATGGGTGGCTTCCCTTTGTCGCTTTGGTCCGGGGAAGAGCCTGATTGGAGTAAATGAAACAAAATATTTTATTGGGACAATAAGAAAATGACACATATATATATTATATATATATGTATGTATGTAAGTATGACATCTTTCCGTCTGCGGGAGACGATAGATTATCTTTATTGCTTGCAGCTCTTGGTGTGGCTGGTGAGACCAATCCTCGAATGGCAGTCTCTGTTACATTTCCCACACACGAATGCGGTGGAGCAGTATTTACCGGCCTTCCTCCTCGCTCTTTTTGCAGCTGTTTCCGCCCTGTTTTGATCCTCGGCATGTAGTGATCCTGCCTTCACGATACCCCGCCATGAGGATCGATCGTCTGCCAACTCCTCCCAGTTTGAGATGTCGATGTTCGAGGACTTCATGTCTCTTTTGCATATGTCTAAGTATCTCAGACGAGGCCGTCCAACTGACCTTTTCCCTGTCGCCAGCTCACTGTATAGCACGTCCTTTGATATGCGACCAGATTGCATTCGCTTGACGTGTCCAAGCCAGCGCAGGCGTCTTTGGATTAACATGGCTGGGACGCTACACATGTTTGTTTGGGACAGGACATCCGAGTTGGGGACTTTGTCTTGCCATTTAATGTCAAGGATGTGGCGCAGGCATCTGAGGTGGAAGCCATTGAGCCTTCTTTCGTGTTTAGAGTATGTCGTTCACGACTCGCATCCATACAGAAGTGTGCTAGCACCGTTACTAGCACGTTAAATATTATTCTCAGAAGTTAGCCGTAATTAGGATTCTTTTAAAGTGCGTTATTTGAATGCTGATTTGGTAGATGGGAAGTTCACGGAAAGTACCTACCATAAGTTCGTGGGTTATTTCTATTACGAGAATAATTTGCTTGGTTTTTATGTTCACCTTTTGCATGCAACAAAATAAGTGACGGAATACTGGTAGTAAGTCGAATACGGCGTACATTTGATAAGGTACATTTTATCTGGTCCAGCGAGAATTCAAGGGAAGACAGTACATGGGGAAGACAATATATGGTGGAATACAGTATATGGTGGAAGACAGTATACATTGGAAAACAGTATAAAGTGGAAGACAATATGTGGTGGAATAAAGTATATGGGGAGACTGTTGTCACGGTCAGATCGCGTGAGTTTTTGGTGTCAACTTCTATAATGTTAATTTGACCAATCGTGGGTGAGTTTATTTTCCCCGTGTGCCCCACGAGTTTTTATTTTTCTCGGTCAAGGTATGACCGGTGTGCTGTGTCTGAAAAAAAACCAAGTGTGTGAGTTTTTTTTTTTAAGGAGTGAACAGTGGCGAGTGCTGTGGATATGGTGTATGATTTTTGTCTTATGAAGGCAGTGAGTTTTTCTACGGATGGAAGAGGACTTGTGTAACTTTAACTGTTTAGTATAGTATGTGGAGTTTTTTTTATTCTGAACACCAGAGCCTATTTCTAAAAAAATTTCCATTGTTAGTCACACAAGCCAATAGATAAGAAAACCTGAATCTCTGAATTGTTTGTTGATACTTGGAGCAAGAGTCAGCTCTGTAGGAGCTGGAAATAAAGGGGTTCTAGACCCTTGAAAAATTGTTCTGTGGCTAGTACAGAGGGGACCGACCCCTAGACAACGTACGTCACGTCACAGTGGGGGCTCGTCGAAGCAGCCATATCATCCAAGTCTACCATCCACCACAGTGGAGCAACCATCCACCACAGTGGAGCACCTATCCAAGTCTAACCATATAATTAACCAAGATTAACCATATAAACCATTCACCATCGTCGCGGCACACCAAAGCAACCATCCAAGTCCACCAACCATCCACAGTGGATTAACCATACAAATCTATCATTCGCCATCGTTGCGGCTCATCAAAGAAAAGATTAACCATATAAACCATTCACCATCGTCGCGGCACACCAAAGCAACCATCCAAGTCCACCAACCATCCACAGTGGATTAACCATACAAATCTATCATTCGCCATCGTTGCGGCTCATCAAAGAAACCATCCAAGTCTACCAACCATCCACAGTGGATTAACCATATAAACCATTCGCCATCATCGCGGCACATCAAAGCAACCATCCGAGTCTACCATCCACCACAGTGGAGCAACCATCCAAGTCTACCAACAATCACAGTGGAGTAACCAAGCCTACAATCGGCAACAGGGGAGGCCGTTCGATGCAGCCCTAACCATCCACCACACTGGAGCAGCCATCTAAGCCTGCAATTAGCCACCGTGGGAGCACGATCCAACCATACCAGCTCATCATTTGGTACGTGGTTCAAAGGTTCAGCTAAGTCCAAACCAACCATAGAAGACCATCCACCACAGTAGAGGCCGTTGAAGCAACATCCTATCGTTCAAAGAACCCTACCAGCCTACCATTCATCACAGAGAGGGCCTGACCAACCAGCCACACCAGCTCGTCAAAACAATCATCACGGCCATATCAGTCCAGAGGAAAACCAGACAGACAGCTATACCAACCCTAACTTTATTGGTACGTGGTTCAAAGGTTCAGCTAAGTCCAAACCAACCATAGAAGACCATCCACCACAGTAGAGGCCGTTGAAGCAACATCCTATCGTTCAAAGAACCCTACCAGCCTACCATTCATCACAGAGGGAGCCTGACCAACCAGCCACACCAGCACGTCAAAACAATCATCACGACCATACCATTTCATAGGAAAGCCGTGCAAACTAGCCAGACAGCTATACCAATCTTAACTTTTGTCACATTGGATTATTGGAGACACCAGACATTCCAACAGTATCTACCTACGAGAAAACACATGAACACATGGATTATACGTCTCAATACGTCCGAAATCCCAGTACCACACATCAAGAGAACCATCACAAGTAATTATTTTAAGTAAATCATTTAGCTATTAGATTTGCAATTTCTATTATATTACTCATTTCATTTGATCCATTTTCTATCTGTAATTTTTTTTGTAAACATATATATTGACATAAGACTTAGAGATAAAAATGTCGTTACCTACTATTGCCGAAATTAAACAAATGGCAATAGATTTGGGATTAGAAGGGGAGGAAGCGAAAGAATGGGTAGCTGTTAGGGAAAAAGAGGTTCGCGAAGAAGAAGAGGAAATTCGCGCATATGAGCGAGAAGAAAAAGAAAGAATCAAAGAACATGAGAGAAAAATGTCTGGGTATAGTGCTAGTACACTAACTGGTACTGAAAAGGGACAATTTTCTCTGGATGATAAGGAAAATGAGGGCAATATACAGGGAGACATGGCCTTTAGTGTAAAACCGATTGTGGATAAACAGGGACAAGACAGTTTGAAGGTGGGAGTAGACATACGCCAGAAAGAGAAATCTATGTGGGAACTCAGAGAAGAATGTGTCAGATGGATATATGGTTATAGTCCACCAGAATCTGTGGTGAGAAAAATTTATCAGCAATTAAGTTCTAACATACCTTTTGACCTAAACACCTTTAAGGAATATAAAATTACTAATGAAGAACATAGTCACGTGACTAAAGATCCTGACATAACGTCGAATTGTTTGGACGAGGGTCCAAGCATTACTCAAAGTAAAGTTGATGAGAAAGCTTTTACAGAAATCAA